TCAATATGTTTATTAGGACACGTCAATATGTATGCTACGACACGTCAATGTGAATGTTAGGACACGTCAATGTGTATGTTAGGACATGTCAATGTGTATGTTAGAACACGTCAGTGTGTGTGTTAGGACTCGTCTACGTGTATGTTATGACACGTCTATGTGTATGTTAGGACACGTCAATGTGTATGTTAGGACATGTCAATGTGTATGTTTGGACCCGTCAATGTGTTTATTAGAACACGTCAATGTGTATGCTAGGACACGTCAATGTGTATGCTAGGACACGTCAATGCGTAAGTTAGGACACGTCAACGTGTATGTTAGGACACGTCAATGTGAATATTAGGATATGTCAATGTGTATGTTAGGACATGTCAATGTGTATGTTAGGACACGTCAATGTGTATGTTATGACACGTCTATGTGTATGCTAGAACACGTCAATGTGGTATGTTAGGACACGTCAATGTGTTTATTAGGACACGTCAATGTGTATGCTAGGACACGTCAATGTGTATTCTAGGACCCGTCAATGTGTATGTTCGGACACGTCAACGTGTATGTTAGCACACGTCAATGTGAATGTTAGGACACGTCAATGTGTATGTTAGGACATGTCAATGTGTATGTTAGAACACGTCAGTGTGTATGTTAGGACTCGTCTACGTGTATGTTATGACACGTCAATGTGTATGTTAGGACATGTCAATGTGTATGTTTGGACCCGTCAATGTGTTTATTAGAACACGTCAATGTGTTTGCTAGGACACGTCAATGTGTATGCTAGGACACGTCAATGTGTAAGTTAGGACACGTCAACGTGTATGTTAGGACACGTCAATGTGAATATTAGGATACGTCAATGTGTATGTTAGGACATGTCAATGTGTATGTTAGGACACGTCAATGTGTATGTTATGACACGTCTATGTGTATGCTAGAACACGTCAATGTGGTATGTTAGGACACGTCAATGTGTTTATTAGGACACGTCAATGTGTTTATTAGGACACGTCAATGTGTATGCTAGGACACGTCTTTGTGTATGTTATGACACGTCAATGTGTATGTTTGGACATGTCAATGTGTATGTTAGGACACGTCAATGTGTATGTTAGGACACGTCAATGTGAATGTTAGGACACGTCAATGTGTATGCTATGACATGTCAATGTGTATACTAGGACATGTATATGTGTATGAGAATAACAAAACTGATGTGGTCGTTGCACTTGTATGACATCATCATGGTGAAAATATTTGTTTGATTAGAATTTTCCTTCATGATAACATATTATATATATAATAATCATATTTGGTTTTCAATGAAAGTAAAGATAAAATGGAAAACTAACAATCCATCATTGTCAATGTACTAAAATAAGATCTTTAAATGTTCGAGAATTAAAATGTATACCGCCTTTAACATGGAGTTAACATTGCAGCGCTGCCCTAACTAAAAGTAGTGTTCTGTTATTCTCGAGTGATTCGATATACCATCATCCTGAATACATAATGATTAACATGTATCCATAAAAACTTGACGTAACTTAAAACAGCATTGTACTAAACAGCTTGGGTAGTTTAACCCGGGAAAATATACTGAAGAAGTACCCCATCTGGTGATTATAAGTCTGTTAAAACTAATCTGTGCTTGATAGTCTGATTCCAGCTTACGTCCTCTGTTCGTGGATATATCCATCGCTGTGCCAAATCCTGATAATTGCTGGATTACAAAATTGACATATTTCTTCAAATGCATTTTAGTTTCATGTTAACATTCATATATTATAGTGTTTTTGCACACAAATAAATAGCAACCGAAATTGTCTGTTATATCGAAATCATGTATACAGCTTCGATGTCAACGTACACATTTCTACTATGAATGTAAACAGGCTTCGATAAATTCTAGAAATCACAAGTAGCGTATTTACAAGTTCCAATATCACGTGATTAGGACTTAGGAGAAAGACGAATACATGTATAATATGAGGAATAGAATAATAAAATAATACAGATCTCGTATGAGCCGAGTCTTTGTATTGTGGAGACAGATTACCATAAATGTATTTATGTATTAATGTGTTTAACACCCGAATATAAACAATCGCTTTTGTCTGTTTTGCATGAGTCATTGACGAAATTATTATGCCACCAGCATCTACTGTTTGTTCTGTTGTCACGTGGCTACAATTTGCGCCATTCTTATTCATTAGTGAGTTGATTATGAATGTTCAAAATTTTGAGTATAATATCCTTTGAGGGGTATACTCATAGTTGTTACCAAAATACCCCAATGGTTATACAATCTGTCGGTCAGTCAATCGGTTGAAGCTTTGCTAAGCACACTTGTGAATAGTTGAATAAATAGCCCTAATTATGTTGGAATTTGAACCTTAACGGTTACAATCTACAATCAATAATTTGTGAATCATTGGTAAATATATCACACATCAGCTAATACCAGAACAATTATTCGTAGCAGCCGATCAATCGATGGAAATGCAATTTAAAGGATGCCATTGACCTTGTAAAAATAGCTCTTTATATGCATACTATTTAAACAACAGCTGTTGCAAATAGTCAAAAAGGCGTAGTAAGGTGACTTTAAAGACGTTGTTAATTTTACAAACTTTCTAAGATCTGACTGTCGAGTTAGCCAAATGTGTGAGATCGCCCGTATTATTTATTACTTGAATATTTTACTACCGTATTTGCCATGGCATGTCCATAAATGACATGGCGGTTTTCGCAACACAATATACACATTATAAAGGCACAAATGCACGGCTTTTAGAATAATAAATAGAATTATTCAAACAGTAAGTTGATAAAAGGTAGTCGAGTGTATTTGAGAGGAAGAATAGCGCATGTCCTATCTCGTAACCCTAAATATTTACATAGTTTCTGTTGCAAAATAAAATGTATTGTTGTATGTACTTGAAATAACATAATAGACACTTACTGCCCATCACAAAAATAGTATTTATTATATTAAATATTATAGTCCACTGTGACTATAACAATTCAGCATTTCTCTTAGCCACCGAAAATAAATATTTATGATGCATGATCTCAAACCATCAAGCAGATGAATCGTAGAGGTCAGTGTCCAGTTTGTCAAACAACCGCCCTGCGTCACCAATTAGAGAGAGACAGAGTTAACGTTATCTTAAATTGAAATATATTACAGTGCTCGAACTTATCAGTGGATCAGCTGACGACGCCATGGAAATCCGTAACGAATTGTTAACCTATTAGTTTGAGGTGAACTGTGTGTGTTCTCGTTAATTTTATGTATATCGCTAACACTAGCTATCGTGATGACATAAATGATCTAATAATGGGTAATAGTTATGTGGCCTCTCTACAGAATCACAACTACGCAAATAGAAATTGATTATATTAGCCGCAGATTGTTATGAATCGCAGTTATATGTATAAATCATTTCAATATACATGTTCTGCTGATTTTGTGGTGGAGTTGCGGTATATGTTCGGTCATATGATCACGATAAAACATAAATTATATACATATTTGATAGTAATGTGTAGCACTAGGAGCTGGCATGTTGTTTTGGTCTGTATACTAATTACTGGTCGTTAAATTCAATGTGTTAATCTCCTAGTTATCGCACAGTCAAACATGATATCTGAATTCACATATACAACAATCTGAGTAGGTTTAAAAACGGGCATGTTAGCTGTTTCATAACCAAATAACGAATGCTTCCCCATTTTGTTTTTAAAAAGGTAAAAGCGTGAAGCCCGGGTTGGTCTACTGGCAGTAATCTCTGCACATATTCCTTAAAAATGGACACGCTAACGTCTATGCAATCTACCACAGTTTCAGTGTTACAATCAGCGAATAGCAATCAGACGTAGCTGATCAACTCAAACAATATATTCATACAGTTCCAGTTTTTTCTAATTTTATTTCAGTGTGATCTCATTTCCTATTTATGGGGTGGTATCTGCCTTTGAACATGCGTTTTAATTTTACGTATTTTTTCCGTTCAGAATGAAATAGCTAAAACAAACAAAAGCGTATTTTTTAAGCTGTTGGGTGAGTGCCAAACTCGAGTTGTCCAAGACTATATATTTATGCGAACTGAAAATTGGATCATGTGATCGAGTGAGTAATAACAACGATAACCCACTCGTGAAATTAAATAGTTGTCGATTTAGAATGGCCATTCTCAGTGGATTACGGCGCTTTCCCTTTTCACACGAGTTCAGAATGGTTGAAAGCATTCCGACTTATCTTATTTGATTGAATGTTCAAAAATAATACGCACAAAAAATGGCTTTTCAAAATGCAGCTGGTCCTCAAATGTAACACCCCGTTATTTTTTTTACAAAATTCTTACAACTTTTTTAAAATGCGGAATGATACTGGTGCGCTTTTTCTAGTCGATTTAAACACTAAGGTGCTGCATACAATCATGTAAAGAAGATAGCTTAAAGTGTCTATTGGGATGCATGGACACGGAATCATTTGAGCCTGTGTGTTTATCTGTAGAAATCAGAGTTGTCCGCCTACCAAATTCAACTGTGCCATCTGTTTTCATAAGAGCTTATTGACGCAAACAGTTTAACAGTATCCCTGAAACGATTCCCCTGTGACAGGGTGGCATTTGTGGTGGAATAATAAATCTCTGAAAGCACCTTATCATATATGCAAGGGCCTGATTGCATTTTAATGAGCATGCTGTCTTTGTCCGGGAGTATAAATACACCTAGCTAGGGAGACCAGTTCAAAGTCTATTTGCAGCCGACGAAGAGAAAACTTGAAATCATTCTTAGTGAGGTGGGTATTATTGTTGTATAGGCGATATTATATTAAATTTGCACGTTATATGGATTGGTCATAAGAACGTAAAATGTAGTATATTTCTATATTATATAGTAAAAACTGAGCTGGATAGTTAATTCATTTATTTAGTTTAGAATATTTGCGGTTATTCAGCTGAATTATGTGCAATTGTTAATAATATACCATATTTAGACAACATTTTAATTACATATAATTACTTCAAAGTAATGTTACTTCTTTTATATTCAGGACAGTCTTAAATAATACAGACACAGATAAAATGAATCATATAAAAGTTGGTGCTGCTGTCTTTGTGACGCTCGTCTTGCTGAGTACAATTACAGAAGCTACACTTCACTTCTCGGGTAAAGGGAGCCAGATGTGGTCTGCAGGAAAGAGGGATCGCCTGGATGATTATGTGAGTACATCAAGCTTTTCGTAGACAGTTGATGTTTTTGTGGTTATTGGAATTTCGTTCGAACATTGGTCCGGTACTATTGGTTCTTGTAGTTTCTGCAATTATGGTCAACTCGTATGCTAGCCTAAGTGGGTTATTTAGTAGTATGTTCAATTATTTTGCAATTGTGTTTTGCAATTATCATAGTAGCGTGAAGTAGCATTAAATTGTATACATCTTCTTACGACCTTATTATAATTTCAAAGAAATAAATATGTATAACCATAGTCCCGAAAGCAAAGTATCATGAAGACGCGAACATTAATTAATCAGCGTTTTCCGCTATGTATATTTTATAGTTAACAACAAAATCTTTAGAATAGAAATTAAACAATAGGTTGTGTCTAATAATGTATATTAAAGGAAATTACACTACGATCTACAACAAAGAAATCTGCACTACAAATAGGCGGGCACGTTTTTATTCGTAGATCATTTATGAATTCAGGAAGGTGTGTATTGATGTTCGAGTGCTATTTCGTGTAAGATTTCGGAAATGTTAAGAAATTAAAATAATGACGGTGTATGTGGATTTGCACCTGTTTCAGCCTCTTTCTCGCACACATGACTAACGTAGTGCGTGACATTAAGTACAATATGTATCGGCATACTCGTGTTAAAAGGGATATGTGTATTATTGATTCGTACACATAATAAAGCCAGCTGTGTCACTTGGTGCATATTTTGAACATGAAGCTAGTCAATATACGTATTTTATTAAAATCCGTACTGATCACTGCCAGTTCAATCTTGACATCCTCTTTAAAACCTGCACTGATCATTGCCGCATCAATCTTGAAATGAATGAACAGCTAAAGATGGCAAAGCCGATAAACTCATAAATAAAGTGAACAGCCAGATGCACATCACATCGAATTTGGTATTAGGTGATCTGAGATGACTATATAATAAACTGGTACCATAATATATAAGGTAAATAAACCCTTTCACAGTGATCAACAACTATGATGAGAAGGGAATACATAAATCTAGGCAGCTGTACGTGAAGCTTCAGTTGTCATATTTGTTCGGCCACACAAAACTGTACAGCCGGTTGAAAAGCCCAGCTATATTCGACGCCGATAGAGAAGAGATTTGCTATTAAATTACTCCCCATGCACCACATCCCTTCGCATTTGTAAACGAAATAAATGTACTTGCTTCCTGTGCCGTTTCAAAGAATAATTCAGCCACGTTATTCTATATATATTTTTGCAGCTCGAAAGTGTTTTTGACGTTTTCGTCATTACGTAAGCATATAGATAGCATATATGAATACACACATTCAAGAAAAGTATACACAACTTGATACTGTCATTACATATGTCGTCACGAAACTATAGCAGTTCGCGAAACGTATTGAAATGATATCGTGATTGGCTTGAAGACAAACTGTATTTTGACATCCGATTGATGAATGTATGCGACTTATGAAAATATCATCTATAACCTTGATTTGACATGAAACACTAAACATCTGCTTGTCGGCAACTGGCGATTATACAATGCAGACATTTTGTATAATTTTGCTATTGGCGTTATGGGGTTAACTTATTGTTTATCGCAGCACGTTGCGGGTAACGCGATATCTCTCGAAGTCCGCTCGTTGATCGCCGCTTTAAACTGCTCAAGTGGAACTATTTTCCCAATAAACAGTGAATTTGCATACCGTATCAAACTTTAATATCTTTTTAAAAGGCAATGTGTCTTGTACGCTATTTAACCTAATATAGAGAACCCTTGAGCAAACGGCTAATTTCCATCACAAACACGATACTTTGATTCATATCAAAAATAACTAGACTTAATGATCAAAGCATTTTGTTCGAATGACGCTCTTCCGGCGCTATGTTATGGATCATTATTTTGAAATCAACCGTCTATTTCAACAAATTAACTAGTATGTTCTGTGCAGATAAACTGCACCTGTGGGGGAATCGTAACATTTATAAATCGTTAACCAGGCAATAAAACAAGCCTTTATCATAAATAACTAACAATTCCCTAGAGATTTTCTTGCATAAATACCTAGTACTCAATGGAACACTTCAAGACAACACATGGGTGAACAATATCATCTGCGATCCAGCGTCGTTAGATTCCTGTGTTCACGTTTGGTACACGGGGCACAAAATGCTGTATGCATGTGTACTATAATGAAAGGCCTGTGGTATTCGTTTGATTATTTGTTTCATTCAAAAGGTGGTACGTTGATTTAATACCGATAAGCAAAAATGTTATTTTAGTATAGTACATTCTTTTTATATAGTTAGAAATTACCTTCATCGATACAACAAATTGGAAAACATGTAATGGTGGTCATAGTCTAACAAGTTTGGTTATCAAGACTAACCACAAGTATAAGTCAGGACAAGTTGTCATTGTGTATCATCATCATGACTAGAATATGAGTTTACACATCGAGATGTTCAGCATATATAGATAGTTTGGAGCATGTAAGCCTGCTAAGGCAGAATTATGAGTTAGCCTATTAAGTAAAGCAGTCAATAGGTTAACATGTAAGATTGTCACATGGACTAACATGTTGGAACATGCCGTCATGGGTTAACATGAGATAACGTAACATGAGATAACGTAACATCGTGGGATAACATACGAGTTGATGCAGAAACATTGGTTAACACATCAGATAACGCAGCCACATGGGTTGACATACGTGATTATGCAGCTACACATGATTTCGTCCATATATTTAAAAATAAAGAAAAATATCATATACTATCATTTAATACATTTTGCTATGTTTTATTTTTACTTATTATTTTTAGATTTTTTTGGATTAGTACAAACTCATTGCGGACATCTTGTATCACTGCTGAGTCCAGTGATCCGTGATGATCCCTGACGGTTTTCTGTTCCCGGTTTTCTATTTCTATAATTCTCACGAGAATAGTATATTAATACAGGGTGTGATATTTCCCAAATTACGTTAATTACCAAGCAAGAACACAAACGACCCCATATGTGTATGTACATATGTATATTAAACTAGTCTTTATATTCCTAGGTCTAGAAAGCCAAGGATTATACTAGCAATTGAGACGTTACACGAAGATAGTGTCCGCGTCATCAAAATTATTTATCCTACATGAATATGTATTATAGTGATATGAAATCAAACATATATATATATATATATATATATATATATATATATATATATATATATATATATATATACCAGAAAATACGCCGCCTTAATTTGGTCAGTTAAATGGAGACATGAAGACGACAATTTGATTATATGCGTAAAAAATAAAAGCACTGATGTTTGATTTATGATCACAAGGCCGAGCTGCTATAATACGTGACTGGTATATAAATAGCGATGTACTTATACTTTCTGATGTGTTATTTCAAACTGCCATAATTGCGCACACAACAATAATGATAATTTGATCTAATGGGACAAACCACCCCTCCTCCAATAATAACGCAAATACTCATTTCTTAAATGTAAATTGCAAATGCGATGGGTTCGGAAGATAAAAATGCCAGAAAGGCATAGCAGCACCCTGCACGGCTTTCATATATATTATTAAATATTAGTTTTTTTTTGAGTGTTTAACTACCACTGTAAACACATCAAATACAATAAAACATACATTTATACAACTACTATGTGAACAGAATTTATAATCCTAAATATCACTATAATGTGTACTCGGTTCGTTACTCCTTCGTTTTTCCCAATACTCTTTCATCCGTGAGGTGAGTGTCCGAGCGCAGTTGAATGATTGTGTGACGAGCGTGACGTACGTCTGAAGCCCAGTCGTCGTCCTAGATTACCTAATTAGTCTCTACGGTGTACATGACAGTATGTTCTTTGGTCAAAAAAGCGACGCTTTTTTGTACCAGCAAAGGTTAATATGGTACTACCAGAGAAAAATCACAATAATAACACGGATCACATTATAATAGAAACAGAATAATATTGACAAACAATTATAACTATTCTTGTTTCAATATATGTGTAGTACTTGTTTTCTTAAGTAGAATTATTATTTCCAACTGTATGTAACCAGTGTGGATTACTGAACAACCTATACGTCACACGTGTCTTATACAAGCAGTTGCAGATGATATACGCCGAAGGCTAATTTATAACAATCTATGAATTCTTGGGGGTACTGTGAGTTCTGTCGACAAAAACTCGATTTTTGTGAAAGAAGTGTGAAATAACTTAATAAAAAAACACGGATGGTGATTCTTATTTAAATCCAACCATATTAATTGACGAAAGTAACGTGAGTAGAAGCACGTTCTACAGCTGCCGAACTAAATTTCAACATGTCTTCAAATTATGTCTAACTGCTGTGCAAGTTGTTAGTGACTGCGTCTACAAACATTTAATCGCCTTCAGATTTGAAGTATAATCTTTAGCAGCAACAACATTTCAGCAGCTGTCAACTAAAATCATCACATGGAGTTTGGTTTGGTGCACATTGTCTGGAGTAAACCTACTTTTAAATAAAAGTAAGACAGGTGTTTCAACATTGATTGTTGTATTCACCCGGCGACATTTCCTGGAAGGATGATACACGGTATAATTGTTTGAAATGTGTTATTTCCGTATGTGTCATTCGTTGGCATGTTTTGATTTCCTGTAGATTTAGCTTCTCTCACGAAATACGCAACTGCATTGTTGGTGTCCCGCGTTATAGTTGACACTGGAATCACTTGAAATTCATGTGAACTACATGAGTTAGGCAATGTGTTTTGAGCTTAATACTAGTATATGTTCAAACATGTTTGTTATTTATTTTCTAAATGTAACGATGTAATACAACATACAATTCACTAATGCATTCAATGAAATGGCGAATATTCTGCTCTGATTCACTACTGTTTTGGCAAAGTAAATCATGAGCACTGCTGTCTTCTATTTATATCCATAATTCATAACTTCCATCGCGGTATAAGAAATTTCTATTACAAGCATATGAGATAAGTAGTGATTCTTTGAATACTTCTAACCCTCCTGTAAATACTAACAAAGTGCACGTCACGTTCGTAAAAACGTAAACGGTTTACGCTGCCTCAATCACGCCACATTAAATCAACGTACGCGTGAGTCCAAAAACAACGATCGATCGCAGACGAAATATGTCTCTGGATGAACACAAAAAGTTAGAAGTACTGCAATGTGGCATTAACTCGTCTCCTGTTGATCGTACAAAACTGTACTTATTTATTTATTTATTATTATTATTTATTTGAATTATTTATAATAATAAATGTTAAGTAACGAATTGTGTTCTTTGAAGTGCAGTTATGAGTTGTATCTTGTAAGGTGTATTTTCGATTTCTATCATGTAATGTGCAGTTACAAGTCGTATCCTGTGTGGTGCAGTTACGAGTTGTATTCTGTAAAGTGGAGTTACAAGTTGTATCATGTGAGTTGCAGTTACCAGTTGTATCCTGTATGGTGCAGATACCAGTTGTATCCCGAGAGGTTCAGTAACGAGTTGTAGCCTTTGAAGTGCCTTTATGAGTTGTATCTTGTAATGTGTCATTACAAGCTGTATCCTGTGAAGTGCAGTTATGATTTGTATAAAGTAATGTGCAGTTACAAGTAGTATCCTGTAAGGTTCAGTAAAGAGTTGTAGCCTTTGAAGTGCCTTTATGAGTTGTATCTTGTAAGGTGTCATTACAAGCTGTATCCTGTGAAGTGCAGTTATGAGTTGTATCCAGTAATGTGCAGTTACAAGTTGAATTCTGTAAGATGCAATTACGAGTTGTTCCCTGTGAAATATATTTACGTGTTGTATCATGTAATGTGCAGTAACGAGTTGCGTCCTTTGAGTTGCAGTTACAAGTTGTATCCTGTAACGTGTAGATAAGAGTTGTATCCTGTAATGTGCAGTTAAAAGTTGTATCATGTGATGTGCAGTTACGGGCTGTATCCTGTAAAATACATTTAAGAGTTGTATTATGTAATGTGCAGTTAAACGTTGTACCATGTGATGTCTAGTTACGGGTTGTATCCTGTAAAATGCATCTAAGATTTGTATCATGTAATGTGCAGTTACAAGTTGTATTATGTGAGGTACAGTTACGAGTTGTATTATGTGAGGTACAGTTACGAGTTGTATCCTGTAAGGTGCAGTTATATATTGTATCCTGTAAGGTGCAGTTATATATTGTATCCTGTAATGAGATTTTATGAGTTGTATCCTGCAATGTGCAGTTACAAGTTGTATCCTGTATAGTGCAGTTACGAGGTATATGCTGTTAGGTGCAGTTATGAGTCGTATTCTGAGTTGCATTTAAAAGCTGCGTCTTGTGAGGTACAGTTACGACTTGTATCCAGTAAGATGCATTTACGTATTGTATCTTGTGAGGTACAGTTACAAATTGTATAATGTGAAGTTCAGTTACAAGTTGTATCCTGCAATTATGAGTAGTAGACTGTAAGGTGTGGTTACGTGTCGTATCCTGTACGACCTGGTTGTGAGTTGATTGCTGGAGGTGTTATTACTTGTCCCATCGTTTAGGCAGTCGCGAGTCGTTTCAGGTATATATATTTTGGTTACGGATCATATCCTGCCAAGTGCGGCTACCTCTACTTCACACAAGATGATGTCGTTTTAAGTGTCAGTGTCGACGTCCTATAATCTTTCCGAGATAGTGTTTACACTTTATATAATATAAGAATACTAGTATACGATACAGGAATGCAGACACCGTCACATCCAGTATATGTATTAGAATACAGGAGTAGATGAGAGGACATTTCCATGGCAAGTTCAGTGTATAGACTTGCGGCTATGTTGTGCCGGACGGTTTGATCCGATGTGACATGTTAGTGGCTTATAATGATAAGCTAAAACAGATTATTGGCATTGATAGTGAATGGTGAGATTGTCTGTATGAAACAGTTTAAGTGATGATGGATAAGGTGGTAATGTGAAAAGTCTAATTATCTTTAGTCAATTTAGATAAGCGTTGCATCCACGGGTTGTAAAAACTATAAATATTATCTTACAGTGATGGCAGCTGAAAAGTATTTGATACACGTGTAAAGCCGCTTAAGATCATTCTTTATTTTATCTTTCTTAGGTATCTATATCGGACTTAATTGAAGTCGCAAACAATTTGCGTGAAGACGTGGAAAAACTAATGGACTTGTTGCAAGCCAAGGCCGAAGAAGAACTGAAAACGAGGCAGTAGCAACCATGAATCTAGTTTAAGACAATCATTATTTCACATGGAAAAGCTATATTTCTGTCTGTCAGTTAATTATTAAAGATATGTTCTGTGCATTGAAGCACATGGGACGCCCTATAGAAACTCAAATGATAAACACCATATTTTGATCACAGTGTGTTTGCACATGCGTCGTCAACTATTACATCGCAATTTCAAATTGTGCACCTGCAACTTATTTGCATTTACATTATTTTCTTAGTTTATTTTGCATTCACAAATATTCTTTATCCATGTTTGGGTAACATGTATCTCTGGCATTATAGTTGTTGCGCCACATACGGCGAACAATGTATATCTATATGTAAAATACAAATAAAGGAAATACCTATTGTACACTAGTGGTCGTTCTTGTATTCTTGATTTATAGTATATGTTGCGATGCGTGTGAAATTTGTGTATGTGGCAGCAATATAAAAGGTATATACAGTTGACGGTGCGTCCAACTGTTAATACGTTTATTATTATATGAATTGTGAGAAGTTCGGAGAAATTGAACGCCAGATACAAAGAAGATCAATGTTGAGTCGTTGTGCTGCAAACGAAACCGATGACGCTTTAAAAAAAACTTTCTTATTACAAATAATGGAAACCTGATATATTTCATCTGCGCCAAAGCTTTGAAATTGTATTTCTTACAATAATTCAGCAGTATTGTGTGCTTTCTAATACATCACTTTTATAACATAAAATTTGTTTCTTCCATATTTCATGCTATTTTGTAATTTTTTAATAACGTTGTATTATTGTTATCATTATTAGGTGACCGCCCCATGTTCGGAAATCCCTATGTTCTGAACTCTCCTTGTTCGTAATCCTTATGTTCCGAAATCCAATGTAAATGGTTTCTGTATTGAGTGTTCTGACACTCAAGACAGTGGGGAGGTATAGCGAACGTTGCATATACATCTCATGTTACTATTGACAAACGTGTCTTCTTTGTACAATTGGGTCACGGTGTATTTTTTTTCGACATTTGTTATCAAATTGACGAGGTCATTAGAGGTCCGTAGGGACGAGCGCTACTGGGTCTTCATGATGGTCCCGGATGTGTCACAGTGTGATAATCCCACGCGACAGACATTCACATACTATCTATGTTTCAGATACGTTGTACTTCTATTTACTATAAATCCTACCAACGGAAACTCCGCATATTAGGTCTTTGTGACTTTGTGACTAATGTCTCAGATTTATACACAATATGCGTGTAGAAGGTAGAAGATGTAGAAACGATTGATTGAGTGCGGGAGTGGGTGACTATGACTGAGCATGTGAGTCTGTGATTGAGAAAGTAAGTATAAATGAGTGAGTGATTACACCCTCTGTACCATTGGTGGACGGACGCTTCGGCCGCGGACGTTTCGGCCAAGGATTTCGATCAGGGCGGACGTTTCGGCCCGTGGCTCTTTTCTGTAAAATAAAGGGTCTTCATTATTTGAAATTCTGTAAATATTTACAGATATATTTAATACATAGTCTATTACGTGATATGGGCATTTAGTTGTTTACAGAAATATTTAATACATAGTCTATTACGTGATGTCGGCATAAAGTTGTTTACAGAAATATTAAAACACACTAGTCGTCTATTTCGTGATTTCAGCGTACATTTGTTTAGTTTTTTTACAGAAATACTTAATACATATTCTATTACGTGATGTCGACATACATTTCTTATATGAATATTTAATACATATTCTATTACGTGATGTCGGCATACAGTTGTTTACAGAAATATTTTATACATAGTCACGCTGTGGCAAAGATCATCTTACCATTGAACTCTACTCAGGCCGAAACGTATGCCCTGGTCAAAACCCTTGGCCGAAACGTCCGCGGCCGAAATGTCCGGCATTCGTACCAGTATAGTACTTATATCCGATGAGCGCAGCCTCAGACTAACAAACAACTGATGAGTCATGTGGGTCTGAGTGAGTTGCCTTTTTTATATATATACTAGATATGAAATTGGTTTTGCAAACAAACAAGACAATGCACAAGTCGACGCGGCGTTTTTGCTGCGTTGTACTGACCAGATTCCTGGCTCACAATGGAAACATTAAAAAGCCTATACCGCCTTTTGTGTCATTTGTGCCACTGTTTTTGAGGCCGACACGGATACTATAACGCCATGACGACCGGTTTTATTTCCAATTCAAAGGCGAGGGTCCGACTGGGTTTGATGTCTTTGTTGGTGTTTTTATAATGCTTTCTATTCAACTTGTCAGGTGTTTATTTTAGCCCAATAGGATGACTGCCAAAAAAAGAAACCTGGCAAATAGAAAAGCTCGATGAAAACATCACAAAGACATGAACC